GTGGTGGGGATGCAACCAACCCCCTAAGCTTTTGAAAATTTTCAAATATAGTACATTAATTTTTATTTTCTACAAAATTTTGTTTTTTGATTTTTTGAGTTATTGAAACCATTTCAAGTATAAAGAAATTATTTAAGATTTAGGTAAAGAAATCATTTCTCTCTTTATGTTAATTTTTAAGATATGATAATTCGATCTAAGTAAGAAAAAATGTTAAAAAATAATTAAGACTAATTAATTATATTGATGTAACTTATATAAGTTTTTACCTTAGTTATATATAATTTTTTTGTACAAATTGTACTCTATGAAAATGATAGTTGAATTTATTTTATTTATATAAATCATACATTTCAAATTTAAAATTATTTTGATATAGGTAATGATTAAAAAAAGTTTTTTTTTTACTATTTATTTAAGAGTTTTTAAATATATATTATCCAAATATAGCAAAATATATCTAATTTTATTGATAAAACTAAATATATCCAATTAATATAAAGTTTTGCTTGTATAACCTAAGTAGTATATACACAAATTTAGTGATTGATATAAATATTAATATAATTTATACTTATGTAAATTAATAAATAACTCACAAAAATTTTAACTTTTTGCTCCTACAACTTGAATTTTGGTTTCATCCCTAATTGCACGCCCATTTCATGGTGAGGTACTAGCTTGGGAAAGTGATTTTGCAACAACCTTTCCCATCACAACCGCATGACACTAAACAAGCTTTCTTTCAATTATCCCAAAAAAGCAGAAGGGTTTCTTTCAATTGAACAAGTTTGTGTTTTTATAGGATGTCTTAATATTTAAAAGTTTAAATTTGTATGTTAAATATCTTAAATTTAAAATTGAGACACATAAAAATGAGTTTAAAAAATTCTAATCACATTAAAGAGGCTGCATTATACTCAAAATAGGAGAAAAATGCACTTACATCTACATATCTCATTCACTTTAGTCTTATTTCTCTAAGATAAGTTGAAATGTTGAAGAGCTTGATTCTCACAAAAGAAAACTATAAGGGCTCAAATTTTAAGAGTGAAGAAGTTTGAGGGCTTATTGTATTTCCACAAATTAATAAATTATTAAACTTGATTATGAACATGATCTATTTGTCATTCCATTTTTGCAAGCGGACATGATGGGACTGTGTGGACCTTTTGCCTCCAGGTTGTTCAATGCTTAATGTAAGCATGTATGATGTATCTTTTGTTCCCAATAAAGGGGTTCTATTACTTTTTCTAATGAAAAAATTCACATAAATAATTATCTAACACAATAGATATAGTAAGATTCAAGAAGATTACTAGTATTTCAATATAAAAAGTACATTATTATTAAAAGTGAACAAAAACAATCAAATTGCGTTATTACCTATCAAAGGTGGCACCTGCTTACGGAATTTGCATGTCTTCTTTTTTAAGCCTTCAAGGAATTTGCATATCTAATTGCTCCCATATCCCACTAGATGGAGGCAAGTGCAAAGGAGATTGCCGGCTGAATTAAACGACAAACAACTTTCCAAGCTGCTAAGTAAAGGTCCATTAGAAGATAATAATAAATAGATAGATTTTTTTATTTTTTTTTTTTGGATTTTAATTTAAAGTTTTATTTTTTTTTTTTTTATATTAATTAATATTAAAAAATAAAAATTAATTTTTATTTAAATAATTATTTAATTAAAATAATAAATACAATATTAATAATAAAATTAATAATAATAATTTTTGTCTTTTTTAATATTAATTAATGTAAAAATAATGTAATAGAAAAAAGAAGATGGTATGGATTGTAGATCCATGTCTGATTTGAAAGTGCCCTGATACACTTCCATAAATAAATAGTCTTCTCATGATTGACAACAACCCATCACCCTTCAAGTTCCTATCACCTTTAACTACCATAAACTGTAGAGTACTTATAAAGTTCTCAACTCCCATTTAAATGTTTTAATTTTTTAAGGTTTTGTTTTACTTATATTATAAAGATATAAATAAAAAATTGAAATAAATATATTTTTTAAATTTAATTTATATAAAAATTTATAAAAATTAATATATATTTTAACATTATTAATATGTAATTATTTTAATTAATTAAATTAAATTAAAATTCATATTTATATTTTTAATAAAAATTAATTAAAAATACATTTATTAAACTTTAAAATTATAAGATAAAAAAATATTTTCGTTAAATAATACAACTAAAAATACGATTTTGAAAAAACAATTGGGAATAACAATACTAAATGAAAATATAGCGTTGGATATTTTCTTGATCGATCGTTTTCATTTAGAAGACAAATTCATAGTTATATTGGAAACCATACAGACCACAGGGAATCAAAATGGTTTTGACCAGTCATCCCTGTTCCAAGCAAATGAAGCCAAGTTTCTCTGCAGTTCCTGGTGGCCTTCGAGGTTTTATTATTATTATTATACACTAAAAAACACACATATATCTTCGTGAACCCTATCACTCCCACCTCTGCTCATAACACGTGAAGTCAATAGTAGTTGCGCTCAGATGTTAATAAAAGTGAAAATTAAAGCCCCCCACCCCTCCCTTACCTATTTTCAAGAACATTACTTTGGATTCTTATGCCAACATTTAAAACCCCCGCTCTTCTCTAGTCTCTGCCTCGCATGTCATGCATAATGTTTATAAACAAAATTTACAGTTTTCTTGAAAATTTCTGACACCCACCTCCTCCATTAGTTTTTTTTACTCTCCTGCCACTACAAAACACCTACCGCTTAGCAGATATGTTGGAGCTCGTACCCCCTGTTAGATTCTGCACAAATAAACACAATCTTTTGATTTCTCTCTCCATCTCGTCATTCATTTCCCCCGCCCCTCTCTCCCTGACACTTATCGATATATTGAAGGAATCAAGGTCTGAAATTGATACTATTCCTTGACATCTCCCCGTATCCTTATCCCTCCATCTTTGATATATAGTGTTATATGAGTGGTATGGTGAATTAAGTTCCCTCTTATGCCAAAGCATGGGAAAGAGAAATGGTACCTCATGGTTGACGAAAGTGAAAAGAGCATTTTATTCTCCAACTAAAGATACAGAGAAAAAGAGTAGCAGAAGAAGAGAAAATCAGTTTGAGGAAGAAGAGGAGGAAAAGGTAACAATGAGCGCTAAAGTTTTGAAATTAGAAGTGATCATTTCATATCAGCTTTTGTTATTATTATTATTTTTTTGTGCATGTGTGTTTTTTGGGCTTGTGCAGAAGAGGGAGAAAAGAAGATGGCTTTTCAGGAAGCAGAGTAATAATCATGTTGAACAATGTGAAGCGAAGGCAACTACAGAAGCAACTGCAACTCCTACACCGGTAGCTGCGACCCTCGCATTGGATGCAGAGCAGAGGCAGCATGCAATGGCGGTGGCGGTAGCAACTGCAGCAGCGGCTGAAGCTGCGGTCGCGACTGCCCAAGCTGCAGTTGAATTCGTTAGGCTCAGTACTCAACCTTTGAATTATGTTAATGTTAGAGAACACTATGCTGCCACACTCATTCAAACAGCTTTTAGAGGCTACCTAGTAAGCAAAACCTTTTCCATATTTAATTTGTTCAATCAGTAAGGCTCCACATGTGTTCTGTACTGTAGTTTAAAGTAAATTAATTGATATGCGTTATACCTTTTTTCGAACATGTAAAAGGACATACACTCTCCAAAATATGAAATCTTTGATTAATATTTTGATTGATAGGCAAGGAGAGCACTACGTGCACTGAAGGGACTAGTGAAGCTTCAAGCATTAGTGAGAGGACAAAATGTTAGAAAGCAAGCGAAGTTGGCACTGAAATGCATGCAAGTCTTGGTTCGAGTACAAGACCGAGTGCGCGATCAGCATCGTGCTAGGCTTTCCCATGAGGGTAGAAGGAGGTCTATGTTTACTGAAACCGAAGGCTTGTGGGACTTTAGATATCTTCAAGATATTCACAGTCGAAAATCCTTGGTAAATATATATTTTTTCTTAATTTTTCTTCCTTGCTTACAATTGAATTAAGGGTACATTTTTTTCTTTTTTAAAATTAGTAAGTATTATCTCATCAGTTAAACTATAGATGCTAAATGTTTCCATGCCACAGTCCAGAGATATGAGTTGCATTACAGATGACTGGGATGACACACCACATACAGGCGAGGAGATTGAAGCTATGTTGCAGGGCAAGAAGGAAGCTGCATTAAGGCGCGAAAAGGCCCTTGCCTATGCTTTCTCTAGTCAGGTTGGATTAATCTATAGTTTGCGCTTACTTTGAAATATGTGCATGTTCATGTGTTAATTTGTACTTCGATTATTAGCTGACTAATTGATTAATTATCCATCTCAAAATTAAGATATGGAGATCTCGGAGGAACCCATCTTCGGAGGAAGAGAAAGAGCTGGAAGAGAGAACAAAATGGCTGGATAGATGGATGGCCACTAAGCAATGGGAGAGCAGCACCAGCAGCACTAGAGCATCCATTGATAGAAGAGACTCAATTAAGACCTTGGAAATCGACCTCTCTTGGCCTCACTCTGACGCTTCTCCAACCCTCAAAAAATCCCATTGTCAAAAACAACAGCACTCCGTTGCTTCCCCGCTACACAGAGCACCCCAATCTCCTGTTGCTCCATCACCTTCCAAGATAAAGCCTTACCAAGTTCGTTCCGCGAGCCCTCGATGTTACTCTACAGCAAACACTCCTTCTTTAGCCTCACGGCTAGGTAGTGCTGCTGCTTCCGTGCCCAATTACATGGCAGCCACAGAGTCTGCCAAAGCCAAGTCTCGGGCACATAGTGCGCCAAGGCAGAGGCCATCCACGCCGGAGAGAGAAACGGGTGGAGCTGTTAAGAAGAGGCTTTCATATCCAGTTAATGAGACAGAAAACAAGAGGGTTGAAGTAGGACGTAATAATAATTTTAGCCAGAATTCGAGAAGTCCCAGCTTCAAGAGTGCTTATGGTGGATATTATGGGATGGACGACAGAGAATCATACTATTCTTCATGTTATCCGGATAGCATTGGAGGAGAGTTTTCTTCTTGTTCCACAACTGATCTCAGGTGGCTGAAATAATGAAATGAACGATTCTAATTCATGTTGGAAAACAGTAATATTGGTTCCTTAGAACTAAAGCTACAAGACCTTGTATTAAAATTTCATCATTCAATTTGTTACAATTAACCAATGAATGAACTCTAATGTACCTTAGTAGTTAGGACTGTATCTCCCTAATAGAAGATTATATATTTCCATTAAGTTTTTTAACTTCCCATTGCTAAGTTCTTTTTATCTATCAATAGTGACTCAATTAGACTGTTCTTCCTTTGTAAACAATGGTTGATGAGTTCAAGTAATACCATATGCATATGCAAGTGTTGTGAGTAAAAGAATGAAAAAAATTGATTCCTTTGCAACCAACAATCTAAAGAAAGTCTTATAATAATAATGGAAAAATAAATAAAAAGAATGGTTTTTTTAATTTATGCATTTAAAGGTGTAATTATTATATTTTTTATATTAATTAGTATTAAAAGAAATAAAAATTAACCTTTATTTAAATAACTATTGAATTAAAATTGTTTGTGTGGTACTTGTAGTGAAATTAATGATAATTTTTATATTTTTTAATGCTAATTAATGTTAAAAAAATATAATAATTACAACATTGATATTAGAAATAACTTACCATATATTTAAGCTGAGGGGAAGGGAATTTTTCCCCTCCATTCTACATTTTCCTCTACTTCCCTTTCTCCTCATTTGGATAGATAATTAAATTTTAAA